GCTTCCCTATTGTCCCGGCAGCGTACGGATGAAATCGGCTGCAGAGCGAGGGCCGGGGGCCAGGAAGGACCCATCCTCCGAAGGACAGCACCCAGGTGAGGTTGACCTCAGCCTCCCCAGGTCCCCCCCAAGGAGTCGAGGACCAGCTGCGCTGCAGGGCAGACGCCTTCCTGCGCCTGAGCCGGGAGAGCTCGGCAGCGAAGAGGGAGCGGAGGTTCGTCAGCTCTATGCAGAGACCCAGCCTCCCAGTTCCTCCCAGTTCCTGCTCCAGGCCTTGGGCTGGTGTGGCCAGGCCCGTGACACGTCAGCCAGTGGCACTGGGTCCCCTTTCCTGGAGGGGACCTGGTGGCCCTGGGGAGCTGCAGGTGCCCAGCAACAGGAGCTTGGAGGCCAGGCCGGCCTCACCTGCCCTAAACACCTGCCCAGAGACAGGCCCTGGGAGGAGCCAGAGCTGCCCGGAGCTGACCCGGGTGAACGAGGCCCCACAATAGTGGAAACACATGTGTACCCGAAACTCCTAAAGCATCGAGGCTGTGGTCATGCTTTCTAGTAAAGGGGAAAGCACAGTCCTTCCCTGATCGAGTGAGCGTCTTACCTGAAGAAGTAGGTTTCGGCTTCCCCGTAGTGGCCGGGTGTCAGCTGGAGGGGAGGGTAGTCGACGGCCAGAGGCCTCACCATGAACAGGCCCATGGCCAAGGCCACAAAGAGGACAGGAAGCAGCAGGACGCAGAGCGAGCCCCGCCAGGCCCGGCGTGCGCCGCACAGCCGCTTGGTCAGCAGGGCGGACACCTGGGTCAGGGTGCTGGCAGGGGCGCCGTCTGCGGGGACAAGGACATGAAGCCTGAGTCACCCAGGGCCCTCCAGCCCCAGCTCTGTGACCCTGCTCCTAGGGCCCCCCAGCCCGGCTCTGTGACCCTGCACCCAGGCCCCCAGCCCCGGCTCTGTGACCCTGCACCCAGGCCCCCCAGCCCCAGCTCTGTGACCCTACACCCAGGGCCCCCCAGCCCCGGCTCTGTGACCCTGCACCCAGGACCCCCAGCCCCGGCTCTGTGACCCTGCACCTAAGGCCCCCCAGCCCCGGCTCTGTGACCCTGCACCCAGGACCCCCAGCCCCAGCTCTGTGACCCTGCTCCTAGGGCCCCCCAGCCCTGATTCTGTGACCCTGCTCCTAGGGCCCCCCAGCCCCAACTCTGTGACCCTGCACCCAGGCCCCCCCAGCCCTGATTCTGTGACCCTGCACCCAGGGCCTGACTGGGGAAAATCTCATCTTTCCATCCACACCGACCTGGATTGGAATCGAGCCTCAGCCACCAACGTGCTGTGTGACTTCTGGAAAATGACCTACCCTCTCTGAATGTCACTTCCCTCGGTTATGAAATAAAGACCTAGAACATTTTCCCGCCAGGTGACAGGATTATTATTACTGTACTTACTAAACTGCCAGAACAGATGTAGTGTCGACCTCCCATCACAGTAAATGCTCATCAGAGGCTCAGGAAGCTTTGGGGGGGAGGGGCTTTGCTCATATTAAGAAAAATAAATTTTCTCACCTCCCCACACATGTTAATTGGATATAAATGGGGAAAATAAGGGGCTAAGATAATTTGTAGCCTTGAGTCAGCACCAATCAAAAATTCATGGCTAAACTCGTGAAAGTGTTCACGTGAGTAATTTAACAGACAAAATTAAAACCAGACTATGGAGAGTTGTCGCACTTGACGTATGTGCCCAATTACGCTCCAGGCTCCGGTCCCATCCGTAACTGTGCCTCTCCGTTCGCCCTGACCGCCCAGCTGCTCAGGGAAATGGGCAAAGATTTTTTTCTGAGGGGCAGAGTGCCCAGGATTCGGTGCGCGCCCGGAACGTGGGCGCCGCAGTCCAGTGCGCCCGTGCCTGGGGGACTTTAAATAAAGCATCACAAACGCAGTGCTTTCAAAAGAGAACCGTCCCAGTCAAAACCAAGCCAGCGGCTCACAGAAGCCTACATAACAGCCGACAGCTGGTTACTGTGAAAGAGCAGCGATAGGACTTTCAGCTCATCAATATGGGCAAATACTCCTCTAAAAAGCAAACTCAGGCCCGGCCGGTGTGGCTCAGTACTTGGGCTTCATCCCAGGCACCAAGAGGCCACTGGTTGGATTCCCGGTCGGGGCGCATGGCCGGGATGCGGGCTCGATGCCCAGCCGGGGGGGTGCAGGAGGCGGCCGATCAGTGACTCTCATCACTGATGTTTCTCTCTCTCTCCCTCCATCTCTCTTCCTCTCTCTGAAATCAATCAAAACACATTTTTAAAAAAAGTAAACTCAGTATTAATGAGGCTTCCTTCTTTAAAAAGCTAACAGGTAGAGCTATATTTATCTAAATTGTTTATTGATAATAATTTCCCAACTACGTGTGACCCAACTCTTATAACGTTTTATCGGTTCGTTTCGTGGAACAAACATACTGCCTTTTTAATATATGGTTTTTCTTTAAAATAAGGAAAAAGGAAAGGAGAGCCAGGTCAGGGTAATTGTCTACCATCACATCGCGTCACCCGAGTCAACGCTGTGCGTGGTGCAGTGACGATTCGGTTCTTTGGAAAGCAGTCCGACTGTAACGGCCAAGTTAGGATTTCACTTTGGGAAAGGTCACCCTCAGGCCCAGCCACGGTTTTGAACAATGGAAAGGCTGCCGAGGCCCCTCTGAGTCCACCAGCCTTGAAAAGACAGAGACTCGCTGCCCGGGCGCCAGGGCACCCCGGCCCTGCACTGACCGCCATGCCGGGGGCAGGTCCCCACCTCAGGCTGGGTTCCCTCCTTCGCGTGCACCAAAGACACGTCCTCCTGAAGCCGCTAAATGGCCCCAAGCTCAGGTTTCAAGCCTGAGCCCCCCTGAAGTGGTAACGGACGGTCAGCGAATGGGGTTTGGGGCGCCGTCTGCTGCTCCCACCACCGTTTCAGCCCCTTTCTCGGGCTCTGCTCCAGCCACAGCGGGGAGGCAGGTGCATAGCGGGCGGCCCTGGGCTCCACTGTCCTGCAGACCTGGGGTGGAAGACGGGCTCCAACAGCTGCTCCAGGAACAGTTAGTGATGACACTGAAGCAGGAGCCTTTAAGGGGTACGTGGCCCACAGGGGGGTCCATCAATACAGCCCGGACCGGGCCCTGGGCTCACCTCCCTCACTGTCCTACCACCTCCCGCGTCCGGCCTCACCGTGTGCAGGGAGGTCCTCGCAGCCACGGGGCTGGGGCTCAGGGCCCCTCGCTGCCTCCAGGTAAGACCACGGCCCAAGGAAGGTGCTCGCCGAGGTCTGACGGTCATACGTGGTGGACAAGCACTACACCCAGCGTCCTATGTGGCTCCTGTGTCGCTGAGACGAGGCCCCCCCCCTCCAGGGCCATTCCTTCCCCGTAGAAAACAACACCCGGTGCCTCCCGCAGCCCCGCCCGCTCTCAGCTTGGACAGCCTCGCCTGCTGGCCTCACTCGGCTGTGGCACCCAGGCCACGGGCAGTGGCTCTGTCTCTATCTGGCTTTCGGCTGGAGTGCAGGCGGGTCAGAGCAGGCGCCAAGCCAAAGCCGTGACTGCGCCGTGGCTTTGAGGGACAAGAAGAGCTCAGGTCCCCAAGCACCCCCGTCCACACGAGGAGGAAATGGGGCTCGGGGCTGGAAGGATGAGCAGCCAGCTTGGGGTGCCCGCTGCACGGTGCCGAGGATTGGACGTGCCCATCGCCACCCTCGGGAGCTCTCTCCGGCCGCCCTGATCTGCGCAGCTGCCAGGACTCACGCCTCACAGGCTCCCGACGCCCCACGGCCCCTAACAAGCTGCGGCTTCCCGCACCTGCCCCGCGTCCGTCCGTCCGCCCGAGTGGCTCAGCCCCACTCTCTCGCTGGCACGGTCTCCCGCGAAGCTCCCGCCGGCCTGGACAGCAAACCGCCTTTGGCGCCTGCAGCTGGCAGCGGCCGCGGCCCCTCCCGCCTCGCTGGCGGGAGGGCAGTTTTCCCAGTCCAAGGAAACGCGGTTAAAAAGGAAAGGCAGCCACGTGGGTCTGACGGCACAGTCGGCCCCGGAGACAGAACTCGGAGCCGCTCTTTCAACAGGCAGAGGACCGCGGCCTCGCCGCGTGGGAGGCGCCGTGCAGACACGACTGTCCTAAAAAGCCAGCGAGAGGCCGCAGGCCCTTCCCGCCAGCCACGGCCGAAACCAGCCTCCATCGGCACAGGGCTCAGGAGGAAGGGAGGACACGCAGGGGGTTGCTTGTGGAGAGAAAGATGAAGAATCTCAGGTGAAGTGTTCCTGAGACGCCACAGAGCTGAGAATTTCAGACCTTGAAGGGGGGGGGGCTTTAAGGCTTTTAAAAAGCCGTGGACAAGCCTTCAGAGGGAGAACAGCAGCTTCCAGCTTCTCTCCGCACTAGAGGAACCTGTGTTCCCTCCCGTGAGCATGGAGCTTGGAGACTTTTCTCAGTGACCACGGACCCCCCCACGTCCGAGAGGAAACAAGTGCTTTTCTAAAAACCGTGGACGTCGGAGTCCCCAGGATCCACCCGAGGGGACACCGGGCCTCAGCACCTGCCGTTTGCATAGGTGCCCAGGTTGGCTGTTTGGTGACGGCCGTGGTCACAGGTGTGAGCACACAGCTCGCCGAGGCTCTGACCGCAGGGCCTGGTGGTCAGCGGTGCTGAGCACCTTTCCATGCCCCTGTCCATCTGTACGTCTTCTTTAGAGAAATCTGTGTGTTGTGGACCTTTGCGTGTGGTGGTCCTTTGCCCATGTTTTAATCAGGTTATTGGCGGGGTGGCTATTGCATCGAAGGAGTTTCTTATATGTTTTGGATATTGACCCTCTGAGAGATGGTTCGTGGGCCTTTCCCCCAGCTCCGGAGGTTCCCTTTGCACCCCACTGTGTCCTTGGCTGTGCGGAAACTCTGGGAGCGGGAGTGGAGCAAAGGGAGCCTCGTGCACTGTGGGTGGGAATGTAAACTGGTGCAGCCCCTGGGGAGAGCACTACAGAAGCTCTTTAAAAACTGAAAAAGAGAACTGCCATGTGATAGATTTATCCAATTTCAGTTTCTGGGTATTTAGCCAAAAGAATCTGAATCAGGACCTTAGAGAGGTGTCTGCACCCCTGTTCCCTGCAGCAGCATTCACAGCAGTAAGATGTAAAAACATCCACGTGTCCACAGACGGACCACAGACAAGGAGAGTGGTCTGTCCATCCACGTGTTCATCCACAGAAGACGGACAGAGGAAATGTGGTCTGTCCATCCACGTGTCTCCAGATGGACAAAAAAGTGGTCTCTCATCTGCGTGTCCATCCACGGAAGATGGACCAAGAAAACGTGGTCTGTCCATCCACATGTCCACCCACAGAAGACAGAGAAAATGTGGTCTGTCCATCCACGTGTCTCCAGATGGACAAGGAGAAGTGGTCTGTCCATACCAAGGGATGTTGCTCAGTGATAATATCTGTGACAATGTGGGTGGACTGAAGGACACGGCAGAAGCTAGACACAGAGACCAAAGCTGCAAGATTCTACTTAGCGGAGGAACCAGAACTAGTTAAACTCTCAGGAGGGAGAGCGGGATGGTGGCTGCGGGCAGGGGGGTAAACGCCAAGCTCCTGCCTCTGAACGGCCTCCTTCCTGTTCAGCTCCACCTGTCCCTGCCTTGGGTCTCCCTCGCTCATCTTTACCCGTGCGCGATGGCGATTGCCCTCCTCGGAGCTCCCCGCCCCTGTACTCACAGAAGTAGGCAGGAGTGTGCTCCCGAGGCCCGCGGCTCTGTGGCTCCACCCCCGGCCCTGGGGCAACGTCAGGTGGCTCTTTGGGATCTTGCAAAAGCATCAGAAACACCTTATGTTGGGAATGAAAAAAGAGCTTTGTATTATATTACGTTCCTTTCCACACGGCTCTTCTTTCTTTGCCTTAATGACCCAACTGGATCATTAGGACGATATTCGCCCAACGTGTCATGATCCACCCATTCACTCGCGTAACTGGTGCGACTCGAGGGCCCCGGAGTCCTTGGCAAGCTGGTTGCAAGGCTGCTCACGGGGAGTGGGCCTGACTCGGTTTCCTCACGTGACACACGGTAACAGCCAGACACGGAACAGGACTGTTCCCAGCAGTGATGCGTTTACACACAATGACCCGGGACACGGCTGCAGCTGCGCGTGGGGCCCTGGAGCTGCCGGCAGGAGGCGGTGCAGGGACAGCCAGTGGGTCCCGGTTAACCCTCCCTCAGCCGATGGGACGGGGGCTGTGTCCGGGCGGGGACGGCCCCGAGGGCCCGAGCGCCGTACGCGTCCACCAGGCGCGTCTGTGAAGAACACATTAGAAACGGGAGAAACGGTGCCCGTCAGGAATGGTCCACGGAGCGGCTTCCTGCGCATCTGACTCTAAAGGGAGCGGCCCCGCCCGGGGCAAGCGCGGTCGGGAGCTGCGGGGCGCAGGTCTCGGCGGGGAGGGAGCGTTCTCCATAAATCTTCCTCTCTACACTGCGCTCCTCTTCCTCCTTCGTAACAACGCTCCCTGTGCATTGCGTAAGGAGACCTCGCCCTGGCTTCAGAGACGGCCACACGGGTGCCCCTGTGCCACCGAGCTCCGGGCACCCCGGCCCAGCCCCACACCAGGCAAACACGGGTCCTGGCACCCGGGGCGAAAGGGTAAACTTTGTAATGAGACTGATGCCCGGCCGGCGTGGCTCAGTGGTTGAGCGTCGACCCGTGAACCAGGAGGTCAGGGTTCGATTCCCGGTCGGGGCACCTGCCCGGGTTTCGGGCTCGGTCCCCAGCAGGGGGCGCGCAGGAGGCAGCCGATCAATGACTCTCATCAGTGGTGTTTCTCTCTCTCTCCCTTCCTCTCTGAAATCAATTTGAAAAAAAAGAAACTGGTGACAATCGTGGTCAGATTTCCCACGTTAGCCTCGCTGGCCTGGGGTCTACTCAGGGACCACGGTTTACAGAACCGTACTGTGGTTTAAAGTGTTAATTGGCAGGCTCTCCGGACCCTGCGCCGTCCTGGGCAGAGCTCGCCGATTAGGGGAAAGGCAGGCGTGGGGTGTGCGCGGCCCTGCTAACCATGGTCGATAGCAGGCGAGAGATGGGAAAGTCAATACTTGCCAAGTGTAAAAAGACGAAATTGGTTGGTTAGTTATTTTATAGACTGCACCACACAAAAGAAGGCTTTTTAAGGCACTTAATCTTTTTCCAATTTAAGACATCTTTCTCCAACAGGTCCAAACGTGCTACGATGTTATATTTTGTTAAATACACTTTATGTATTTCAGGCCCTTTGCTCAGGTCTGTCCTGCACACAGATGACTTCTTTTTAGCATC